GGGGATAGCTTGAGGCTCTGTATATTAAAAAAAAAAAGACAATAATAGTGACTAGAGTGGCTATATAGCATAATTTCTGGTTTTAGAGCCAGAAAGAGGGAGAGAAAGTCATTCTCTGAGCATTTTTGATATGCCAAGTACTGTAGTATGCACTTAACTTACTAATCGCGTTTACTGTTCATGATAACTTTACTTGTATGGCATATGATATCTCTTTTGTTAATGATTCCTGAAGTTCTGTGTTGCTGCTCTATTATTATCATGTCTTTGGTTCCTTTAAAATTCTGTTCTTAGTTGTACATTTCAGAGATACTACTACATCAAAAACTGTATTGTAATTGGAAAGAGCATGGACTTTGAAATTAGAGTGGGTTTTAAATTCCAGCTCTGTTGTTAGTTAATATCTTTTGCAAATTTCTTAAGATCTGAATTTCATTTAGACCTCTAAAGTGAGAATAATACTTACTTCACTGGATGTCAAAGACACTGACTGAGGAAATGTATCTATCATGTCTAGTACAATGTTTGGTTCAAAAAATTGTTATTTTTTTCTTGTTTTTCCACCATCACAAAGTTTTTAAAAAACAAGCTTTTGAATCACTGGTAGGTTTTCTTTTTTCTTTTTTTTGAAATACAGGGTCTTTCTCTTTTGTACAGGTTGGAGCACAGTGGCAGGATCATAGCTCACTGCAGCCTCTAATTCCTAGGTTCAAGCAATTCTCCCACCTCACCCTCTTGAGTAGCTGGGACTATGGCATGTTACCATGCCTAGCTAATTAAAAAAAAAAAAATATATATATATAGTTTGTTTGTTTTTTGTACAGACCAGGTCTCACTATGTTGCCTAGGCTGGTCTTGAACTCCTGGCCTCAAGTGATCCTCCCATCTTGGCCTCCCAAAAGGTTGGGATTATAGGCATAAGCCACCACTCCTGGACAATGGGTTCTATTTTTGATTCCAGGAAAGTTTTTATAATGACTTAGAGTTAATCACCTTACCTGAGTTCCATTTCAGTCTCCAGGCTTTCAATCTGCTTGGTAATAGAATCGTCTGAATTTGAAACTTGACCATGCACTTCGGCAAGAGAGAATGTGCGCCTCTGTAAAGAATAGTGGAAATAAGGGTGAAGTACTAAAAGGATAACAATCCTCTAAAGCAGTGAGGATTTCCTAGGAATGTAGAATCTCATTATTGGTAATCTTTTCTTTTCTTTTTTTTTTCATAAAGGCACTTACCCGGAGTTTAAGAGGTGGATTCTCCCCAGATTCTTTTTTTTCTTTGAGTTGAGCCACATCCTGAGCCAGGATTTTTCTATCTTCAAGAAGGTCATTCAGGTGGCGTTTGGCTTCTTCAGTACTGACCATAACCTCAATTTCATTTCCAAGCCAATTCTAGAAGAAAAATCAGTGATGTCTGGGTTAGGGATTAGAAATTACTGGCCCATGGGCTAGATTCAGCTCCAGACTTAATTTTATTTAGATTAGAGTCCAAATAACTAGCAGGATGATTTCCATTTATACTCCCACTCTCCACAAATGCGAAGACCTCTCTTAGAGCTTTAATAACAATATCCCAAAAGTCATAAGAGGTTTTTCCCAGATATCCCAGCATTACTATGTGTTCTGTTCTTTATTTTATCCCTTTTTTTTTTCTGAGACAGAATCTCACTTTGTCACCCCTAGTAGAGTGCTGTGGCGTCATAGCTCATAGCAACTTTAAACTCTTGCAATCAAGTGATTCTCTTGCCTCAGCCTCCCAAGTAGCTAGGACTACAAGCCCCTACCACAACACCCGGCTATTTTTAGAGACGGGGTCTCGCTCTGTCTCAGGCTGGTCTCGAACCTGTGAGCACAGGCAATCCACCCACCTTGGCCTCCCTGAGTGCTGGGCATTTTCTCCTTTTTCTCCTTAACATTAGTCCTTTGTGGCCAGGAGCTGTGCCTCATGCCTGTAATCCCAGCACTCTGGGAGGTTGAGGTGGGTGGATTTCCTGGACTCACAGGTTCCAGACCAGCCTGAGCCAGAGAAAGACCTTGTCTCTAAAAATAGCCAAGCACTGTGGCGGGAGTCTGTAATCTCAGCTACTTGGGAGGCTGAGACAAGAGAATCAATTGAGCCCAAGAGTTTGAGGTTGCTGTAAGCTGTGACATCATAGCACTCTACCGAGGGTGACAAAGCGAGACTGTGTCTCAAAAGCAAAAACTTTAGTCCTTTGCCCCTAATTAGTCATGATATAGGACTAAAGAGGATTTTTATTATCAATTCTATTTTTAAAATTTTCTTGTTATTATTTATTATATTTATTGATTTTTTAGAGATAGGGTTTCACTCTGTTACCCAGTTGCATAATCATGGCTTACTGCAACCTCAAGCTCCTGGGCTTAAGTGATCCTCTGGGCTCTAGCCTCCTGAGTAGCTGGGACTACAGGCATGTGCCATTGTGGTTATTTTTTGTAGAAATGAACCTTTCTGTGTTGTCCAGGTTGGTCTTACATTTCTGGCCTCAAGCATTGCTCCCATCTCAGCCACACAAAGGGCTGGGATTACTGGCGTGGCCACCATGCTTGGCCTATTTAATAAACAGAAAGCCACTCTTAATTTTTAAAGTAGATGAGTGAGATCTTTACAAAAGTACATTTTTTTTCTAAGTTAGCTTTTAAAAACAGTAACCATCTCTGAGAATATTTCCACTTTTAATTAAATTATACCATGCTAATAGTAATCAAAAGATAGAGTAGCTATATTAATATCAGATAGAGTAGAATTCCTACTAGAAATACTACTGAGAAGGCTGGGCACCGTGGCTCATGCCTGTAATCCTAACACTTGGGAGGCTGAGGTGGGTCGACTGAGCTCATGGGTTTGAGACCAGCCTGAGCCAGAGTAAAACCTTGTCTCTGAAAATAGCTGGGCGTTGTGGTAGGTGCCTGTAGTCCCAGCTACTCAGGAAGCTGAGGCAAGAGAATTACTTGAGCCCAAGAGTTGGAGGTTGTTGTGAACTATGACTCCATGGCCCTCGACCAAAGGTGACAAAGTGATACTCTGTCTCAAAAAAGAAAAAGAAAAGAAAAAAAGAAATACTACTGAGTTGAGGAGAAAAAGGATTAATCATAAAAATAGTTATAATTGTTCAAGAGAGGATAATCCTTAATGTTTGTATCTTTAATAACAAAGTACCAGAATACATGCAACAAAAACATATAAGTCAACAAAGAACATAATATGGAATTGCAAAAATGCTCAATTGATCCAAAAAAGGAGCCAGAAAACAAACAAAAAAAGGAGAGAATGGGCGGCACCTGTGGCTCAAAGGAGTAGGGCGCCGGCTCCATATGCCAGAGGTGGTGGGTTGGTGGGTTCAAACCCAGCCTCGGCCAAAAACTGCAAAAAAAAAAAGGAGAGAATGAAGAACAGATTAGACAAATAGAAAACAAATAACAAGATGAGAGACTCAAACTTACCCATATTGATCATCATAGATTAAATGTAAACAGTAATAAAAATACACAGATTTTAGATAGGATTAAAAATGCTTGACTCAACTATATACTACTAAGTGTGTTACTACTAAGTGTGTCACTTTAAAAATGAAGGGAGCCAGGAAATGATGGCTTGTGCCTATAATCCCAGCATTCTGGGAGACCAAAGCAAGAAGATTGCTTGAGGGCAGTAGTTCAAGACCAGCCTGGGTAACATAGTGAAATACGAAGTGCAACAAAGTACAAATAAATTAAAATGAAAAGGGTCAAAGAATACTACATTAATACTAATAAAAGAAAAATGGGGCTAGGCGCCTATGGCTCAAGCGGCTAAGGCGCCAGCCACATACACCTAAGGTTGCGGGTTCGAATCCCCAGCCCGGTCCCGCCAAACAACAATGATGGCTGCAACCAAAAAATGGCCAGGCGTTGTGGCGGGCACCTGTAGTCCCAGCTACTTGGGAGGCTGAGGCAGGAGAC